TTCATCATTTTCAAAGATCACTTCTTTGCGTCTTCAACTGCGTCTTACTTATGAAATATATTTAGTATGTGTATTCCTAAATTTGATTTATATTTTAATAATGTTAGGTTGCATGTTTTCTATGGTTATTGCTTCTTGTATCTGTTTATGTGATATACCATTTTTACGTAATTGATACGGTAAGGATTTCTTGTTGGTTCACACGAGAGCTTAACAATAATTCTGTCCGATGAATTCCTACAGAACAAAACGCGTCAGATAAAAACATTTTCCACTTTGATATACATTTTTCCAAAATATTGTTCTTGATATATAAAAATATATATAACTATATATATATATATATATATATATATATATATATATATATATATATAAAGAAAGGACAGTAAGATATATAATCCGGTGTTCTTATTGATATTTTTATATATAGTGCTCAATGTAAATTTACAGACCATTAATATTATAAATTAACTGATTTAAAATATGGTTTTTTCGCTACACAGTAATAACCATGTTTCAAAAATGGAAGCTAAAAACTTTGAATTTAATTTTGTAATTAAATTAAAAACCTTAGTTCCATTTCATCCTCAAGCGAATTTTGGAGTTTTTAATTTAATTACAAAATTAAATTCGAAGTTTTTAGCTTCCATTTTTGAAACATGGTTATTACTGTAGAAAAAAAACATATTTTAAATACGTTAATTTATTATATATATATATATAAATATATATATATATATATATATATATATATATATATATATATATATATATGAAGAAATATAGTCTTAAGATGTGCTGTATTTATGGGATAAAATGCTCAATATCAGAGATTTTGTGTAATAAATATAGAAGTGAACATAGAGACACTTAGAGACTCTATGTTGATTTTTATATATTCATATATATATATATATATATATATATATATATATATATATATATATATATATATATATATCATTTTCTTTCCTATTATTTTAATATATATATATATGATGTAATGAAATAATCAGTAACCCCCATGAATGAATAGGTAGTAAGTACCTATAAAGTCCACTGTCTCCGAGAGACTCGGGGACAAGGACAGAGAGAAGAGAGGAGAGTGAAGATGGAGTCGACACAAGCACGTCCGACCTTCCAATTAGTGGCACTCACTACTAGATTGACCTGTGTGTATAACTGTACCGTATTTCATATTGTACTTTGTTGTGTACAATAAACCTTTCTTCTAGTATCCACCTTGTGTTATGTTTATTCCCTTAGCACGGAATATAACAATATATATATATATGTGTGTGTGTAACAGCAAAATTGTCTAAATCGTGTAACAGCATGGGATAATTATCCATCCCACAAAATGTTTAATATCTAAAACAAAACAAAAAAAAACACTAAACTGATTGAGTTTCTTTTTTTTTTCCAGATAAAATGTTTAGCCATCTTGACGCCATTTGTCGTAAGAAACACTGAAAAACTCTTTGAGTTATTTAGCTAGAAAAGAACAGGTTAAAATCGTTTTGTGTCAGCCCCACTTTGACTTCCCAACTAACAATGTGGTGAAACCGAAAAGATTCTTCAGGCTTTCAGTAATGGTACCAACATTCATAGTCTGGCTTCCATCTCCAAAGTCCATTCAAGAACCATCAAGAGAACGGTGGATAAGTTTAAAAATGAGGGAACAGTAGAGATGAAAACTGGATCAGGAGGTCACAACAGAAAGAGGAATCATCATTTCGACTTAGAGCTAAATAAATTCTTATCGTTCAAAGTAAAGTCCAATAGTGCTATTGAAAAAACACGTAGTATTCCAGAAAGATATCTTTAATCAATTCTCAGATGCAACGGTGTAAAGCTTATTCTAACAATTGAACAATTTTTCTGTTATACGATTTGGACATGCATTTTATTTATGTCGGGCATTTGACAGCATTTTATTTATGTCGGGTTGCTTGTTTTTTATTGCTTAATGTTTCTAAAACCTGTAGCCGGCTTTTACAGTTTATATGATATAGTATAGTTTATGTTATTGATTAAGATTTATCGGATATTTATTGTCATTTGATAAACCCCTCGGACATTGTACAAAAGTATGTACCGGGAAATAGGAAAATATAGGGGAAAAAAATGAATAGATAAATTCCTTACCAACGAACTTTCTCTGTTCTTTAACCAAACTTGTATAAATGAGAAACTACTACCCCACAACAATATATATATATATATATATATATATATATATATATATATATATATATATATATATATGCTTGTATTATAGTTGTGATGAAGCAGTAAGCAAATTACGAATCCAAAAAGAAATTCCATTCTTTTGTGTTTCCATCTCATCAACTCTTCTGCGTGAAAAAATAATGGTAAAAAAAATTCATTCCGTTGTCGCTTCTGAATCGACACCAAAGAATAACAATAAGAAAGAATAACAATAAGTAATCAGATACAATGATCTTGGCAGATTATTGGCAACAGAATTATCATTTCTTCTTCTTCTTCTTCTTCTTCTTCTTCTTCTTCTTCTTCTTCTTCTTCTTCTTTCTCCAACAAGAATAAGCAAAAGCAGGCTGGGTGTTTTCGGTACGTATCTAATATTGGTTAAATTGAAAATCCATGTAGCCGCATGAAATTGGATAACGCCCTGTCAATTTTTAAACAGTTAGACGCAGTCGTCATTACACCGTGCCCATCGTAGATTTTACAAACATCCTATAGCAAGAAGTCGGTTTTAACGTCTTTTGGATTGAATCTAATTCTAAAATTTTAGCACTTTTAATGTAACTCAAACTTAAATTCAACTTGGTTGTTCCGTAAACGATTATTATTTTTTTTTTTTAAAGGACAAAGAAAGAAATATTTTACGAATTATTAAGCATTTTGATCCACGAGGAAGAATTCAACATGAAGTAATTTTTCTGGAGACATTTTCTACCGTCGACAAACCTGACATACGTGTGAAGGCTGCCATGCGTAACTATTACACGATAATCCGTTACGCCTCAAGGATGTCATCCACACAGACTGTCACACATGTATATACATATACTCACTGCCTTTAAGAATACATTAACAAACTTGTAACTACCAACAACGCAGAAATAGGATTCATTAAACTTGAAAAGATATATTTTTTTCTTGGGGGCGGGGGTATAATTTCACCCCAAGCATGGCAATAAAGCCACTAAGGCAGAAGTGGTGGTATTAATTGTGAAATAATATAAGAAAAAGAAAAACATTATTAAGGAGAGAGAAAAAAAAAGCAGATAACGATTGACATTGTATTTAATTTTTTTAAATTCAGATTTGACTGAAAAGCAAGACGATCAAAGAAAGTTCCACAAACTTACATGAATTTGATGAAAAACACTAAAATATTGGATTACAGTACAGACAAAAAAAATTAATAAGATCCCCGGTAGCCTTTGTTTACAAACAAATGCTTAGGAGAATGTTTATTTATTTATGGTTTAACCATTTCACCCACCGCAAAAGGGCAATAAAGCCACGAAGACGCAACGGTGTATTAGAGAATATGGAAAAAAGAAAAACATTATTAAGGAGAGAGAACAATAAAAGAAAAGGAATTAAGATGACAGAAGATAACGATTAGTATTGAATTTAAATTTTTGAAGATCAAAGTTGACTGAAAAGTAAGAAGCCCGAAGAGAGTTTCACAAGCGAGGAGTGCGATAGAAGAAACTGTTAACATAGAACTTACGGTTGCATCTAACAATTTCAACTGTAAGAGGGTGAGACCTAACTGTCAATCTTGCACTGCGTTTAAATTCGTAAAATCTATGTTCCAAAGAGGAAAGTTCATCCGAACAATTACCATATTTCTAGAAAAGGCACAGGGAAACACCGTTGCGGTGGACTGAAGCCGAGATGCCAGGCCAGTACTGATATGAATATTTTCTCTTCTTCTTATCATTCTTCTTCTTCTTATCATTCTTCTTCTTCTTCTTCTTCTTCTTCTTCTTCTTCTTCTTCTTCTTCTTCTTCTTCTTCACAATTTCCTATCTTTTGTAGCCATTAATATCTTTTACCTTTTTACCATGTTTCCAAAAACCCTGCCTCGCCATACATTCGCTCAAGCTCGCCAGGTAGGCTGACTATTGTTTTTACCCTGGTCTTATTTACCGTCAATCTATCCTGTAAGTACACCAGTCCTAACCTTTACGTCTATGCACATTGCAGCGAATCACCCCCCATTCAACCCTGGTAAATAAGTTCCACTCGAGCATCTTCTGCCTTATGTAAGTGGTTTGTGGGAAGAAGAGAATGCTTCTACGATCATTACAATGTCAAGTTTCGATTCCGGCTTGAATCCATCAGACTTCTAGCCACACTGATGTGCTGTGATACAGCGAAACAGTCTCTCTGTGAATGACTAGATATAGATTTATATATATTTACAGTGCTGTTACTCTGAGACCATTCAAGGTAGAGGATTACAGTGTAAGAGGCACAGTTTTTATATATATATATATATATATATATATATATATATAATAAAAGGCTTATATCCTTACTCTGTCCTGGACATTGAGTTCTACCTGGATTCTTCCTCTTGGAATTTTTATTCAAAAAATATACATGTATGGGTATTTATATATTTTGCATATGTATATATATTTTAATATATATATATATATATATATATATATATATATATATATATATATATATATAAAAGTGAACACAATCTTCAGGTCGCAATCCAGTATGAAACAGCCTGTCGCCTCTGAATGTTGACTTCAATGTTCACTTTTATATTTATATTTACATACGCTCTAGCTCTGATATTGAGCACTTTATCCCATAAATATAGCATACCTTAAGACTATATTTCTTCAGATAGATAGATAGATAGTATTACTCTTCAAGTAAATTGAATTGAGTTATCCGAGACGCTGGCGTATTTCATATGTATATATATATATATATATGTGTGTGTGTGTGTGTGTGTGTGTGTGCATACGGGCTTACGGTAATATCACGTTGAAACACCGGTTCTTGTACGATAACCAAATTTAAGCAACATAGAGCCTGGTCAGTAGCTAGATGGGTGACCGCTTGGGAATACCAGGTGCTGTAAGCTTAGATGTCCGTGTGATGTATTAGATAATGACACGGAATTTTTAATCGGGGAGCCGGGTTTCAATTTCCGTTAGGTTCTTATATACTACTTCTTTGTGTGCCGTGTCTCCTCAAGGCGTAGGCGGTCATGGGTCTCCACAACTTCCTGCCCTTTACAGCTTTTAATCTTTCTTGCCTTCAAACTATCCTGTGAGTATCAGATTTTTCAAACCTTCTTTTCTCATTATGTTCCCTAGAAATTTCAACTGTCTCTACCTGATCTTTATTGCATTGTTATATTCACTTAGGCGCAAATACCCTTGGGAAAGGTATGAATCCACCTCTTCTCCCTCCAACTATGGGTTAATTAGTAGAAGTTGTATCAATAAATCATTATTATCGCCAACTATTCTAACAATCTAAAAATGTTTTCTGGCTTTATATAACCTGCAACTGGTTGATAAGCCGTAAAAAACAAACCAATCTATATATATATATATATATATATATATATATATATATATATATATATATATAAGAAAAAATATACAGAAAAAACAAACAATAATATTAATATGCAATTATGCTGTATTAATGTTAATATAAAATCAACGTCGGACGTTTCAGTCTATTTTAGACCATCTTCAGGACATTTTCATTAAACATAATTAACAACATCGCCCACGTGACGACGACGTGATCATATTTAAACGGAACGCTGATCTTATATAAAAATTTCAGTTATCTGTTTGGATTAGTTGTGCTCTTATGTCCATTGTCTTTTCATGGTGAATTTTATATGTTCTAATGTTAATTATGTTTAATGAAAATGTCCTGAAGATGGTCGAAAATAGACCGAAACGTCCGACGTCGACTTTATATTAACATTAATACAGCATAATTGCATATTAAGATTTTTGTTTGTTTTTTCTGTATAGTTTTCTTCATACTGTCGGATCTATATCCATATATTTATATATATATATATATATATATATATATATATATATATATATATAATAGAACCACAGTTCACGAATTTAATTTGTTCCTGAAGGCCGTTCGTAACCCGAAATGTTCGTAAACCGAAACTATTTTTCCAACAGGAATCAATACAGAGAAAAAAAGTCATAGTACAATAAAATTGGAAAAGAAAAGCACAGTACAAAACAGGAATGTATACAACACGGAGGTCGACTCAGAAATGATTCCGTTCGGGTTAACTAACTTCGGCAATGTTGTTCGAGAACCGAAATTTTTTTCGATAACCGAGGTATTTTGATCTCACATTTTCTGTTCGAAAACCGAATTGTTCGACATGTGAAACGTTCGAGAACCGAGGTAGCACTGTATATATTAATTATTGCTATTTCTCTCTTTACTTTAAATAATCCGTCATCGTTTTTAATTTTATGTTCTTTCCCATACAATTCTGAACGCAAATCTCTCTAAATGGTCAATTTACTTTTGCGCAGATTCTCTTAAGGAGGTACTTCCACAGATTAGCAATACCTCAGATTTTAAAATGAATTTTTGAAAATGAAAAATCTTTCTTGCAGCTTTTATTTCAGTTTTAAATTCAAGCTGATATATTAAATTTAATATTTCCAATAAGCAAAATACCTTGCTGTATTTTAAAACTAATTTAAATTGACTGGAAGAAGTTTTCGTTTTTAAATTGCTAAGCATTGCTGATTTCAACGCCATCTTAGACATCTTTCATCGCAATGTAATTCTCTTTATTAAAAAATGTCTCTGGGAAAAATGAAATATAATCTTTTGAAACTTTATTTGAGGAATATTAGCTGAATTAAAGTTTAATTAATCTGACTTGAAACAAATATTAATATTAGTTTAAAATTTATTTTTAACACGGCGGTAGCTGTTTATACTAGATGTTGCCAGGTTGTCATTCAGACAGACGGAAGTTTATCTCATGTTTTTCTATGATGGGCATATCTGTAAAATCTACTTGAAGAATATAACGTGAGTGCCTTTTTTATATAATTTATAACTACCAAGTAATCCTTAAAATTTAGGAAAATACTCTCCGTAATCTAATGTTTTATTGAATTTTAAGTACTTTGGCATTAAACTTCTATAGTTATCGCTCTTATTTTCTGATAATGTCGAATATGTCATATTTACAAAAAAAAAACAAAAAAAAAACAGCCCATTTACACACAAAAAGAATTTAAAATACTTTTTAAAATATTAGTAGTCAATGAATTGTACTAAGCTTTTCTATTTATGAATAGTAAATATAGTTTTTTACTTAATAACAATATCATCTAACCTCTACAAAGTAAGACAGAATTTTATAGTGACGAATATAAGATGAACGCTTTTATATATATATGTGTGTGTGTGTGTGTGTGTGTGTGTGTGTGTGTGTGTGTGTGTGTGATAGAAATTAGGAATATTTGAGATAATTATAATTAAGTAATTCATCGAGTCTAGAAGAAACCTCAACATAATTCAGAAAGCACTGGACGTCTCTTTCGTCCTATATTTGAGACTCATCAGCGGTGCGCATCCACTACCGAGAATTGAAACCCGGACAGTTATACGTCATACCAACTGTTCCAAATGGGCCTCGGTGACAAAGCGGTAGCGAATCAGACTCAATATAGCGCCGTTCGATCATATATTAGTAGTCGTGGCTCGTGGGGACACAGTCTTATGGGTAAAAGAAAAACTCGGATGGGTTCCACCACGGAATGTGATCGAGCGGCGCTATATCGAGTCTAATTCGCTACCGCTTTGTCGCCGAGGCCCGTTGGCACAGTTGGCCTGACGTTTACCTGATAACGTAACTGTCCGGGTTTCAATTCTCGGTAGTGGATGCGCACTGCTGATGAGTCCTAAATATAGGACGAAACGGCCGTCCAGTGCTTTCTGCGTTCTGTTGTGGTTTCTTCTAGACTTGATGAATTACTTAATCATATATATGTGCGCGTGTGTGTGTTAAATACAAAATAACGTTAAAATTTTAAGATAATATTCTAAGCAATCTAATATTTTATTGAATTTTAGATTCTTACGAAGACGCTTATTGAGGAAATGTTAGAAAATTACCAATATATTTTAATTTTACTATATTTGTCGCTCTTATCGTTTGATAACGTCGCGTTGGAAAACCCGTATTTACAAAAATCGACACGTTTATACACACATGAAAAAAATTCAAAATTAATTTTAAAATATTGCTGGTCGGTGAATTGTAGTGAGCTTTTCCATTTATGATTGGTAAATACAGTCCTTATTTAATAGTAATATCACTCAACAGCTACAAATTAATACAGAATTTTAAAAGATTTAAAAGTTTATATATTACTTAAATTAAATTTTTTTTTTTAAATAAAAATTATTCTTGTAAAAAATCATTATTCATCGAAAAGATTTATTGCTTAAGGCAATAGTGTCCATTATATATCTCATTCATGAAAGTAATTAATTTTTTCTAATTAAATAATATCTAAGTTTTATTGCATTTGTTATTTTATGATTCAAAGCTGATTTTCTGTAACTGCGGATCGTGATTGACAAAAAAAAAATTAATGATTTAAATTCTCCGAGGACTTTACCTTATAACTAATGTAGACATTAAGCGCTAAAAAAATAAATTTCTCGAAATTTCATAAAATTAAATAAGTGGGCGTATGTAAAAAAAAAAAAAAATTAAAAGATGTAAAAAAATATTTTTATAATAATTTTCTAAAAAAAGGAAAATTTTAAAAATAATTTCATTCATTTGTGAATAAATCTTGAAAATTTCATTAAAATCCACTTATTTGATTTTTGAAAGACTTTAAAAAAAGGCACTAAAATTTGCCATACTAATTTATTGTACAACGTTAACACTGGAGAAAAAATATTTTAACTATATTTTCGAAGGTTCTAAAAAAGGATTTTAAAATAATTTTTACATAAAAAATCCATTGATCTCTCCTTTTAATAAATAAATATTTTGACAATAACACTTTGTTTTTTTTTAAGTTTGGGGCATTTTTTGGTCTTCTATGCTCATTTTTAGGTAACGGTACACACACACGCACATATATATATATATATATATATATATATACCGGCATCGACAGACAGACTTTTTCAAATCCGATTGCTTCGGGCCGGGACCGAAACCCGAACGGTTTGACATCAATCAGAGATGCTAACCCATAGCCTATCGACGCCCGGCAGATAAAAAAAACAGCGTATTTTTACGTATTTCTTTTTTTTCATAAACACGCCATATGCCATATATATATATATATATATATATATATATATATATATAGAGAGAGAGAGAGAGATAGATAGATAGATAGATAGAGAGAGAGAGATAGAGATATAGAAATTGAGATAGATATAGAGATATAGATATATAGATATAGATATAGACATAGAGATAGATAGATATATATAGAGATATAGATACAGAGATATAGATACAGAGATATATAGATATAGAGATATATAGATAGATAGATAGATAGATAGATAGATAGATAGATAGATAATATTAGTGGTAAATATACACATACATATGCAAAATATATAAATATATATGTATTTACGATTCCAATGGAATAAATTATGACCATGGAATATTAGTGTTTAAGCCTTTTTATATATATATATATATATATATATATATATATATATATATATATATATATATATATATATATATATATATATATATATATATATATATATATATATATTATACATACAACATATGAAAGGCCCTCGTCAGCTGCCAATTTATCGTTTATCAGTTTATTTATACTCTCTCTCTCTCTCTCTCTCTCTCTCTCTCTCTCTCTCTCTCTCTCTATTTAATCCCATCATACGTATATATGTATATTGTCACAACATTGGTACATTGGGGGAGTGTTCAAACGCGCCATTTAAAATGATATAGCGATATCGGTACTACTTATTTAGACTGGTCCACTCGTAAAAAAAATAATGAATTTTTTTTTTTTTTAAGTTTTGTAGTTTATCATTCTTTCGG